AGATGAAGATTGTAGAGCAAGATAACGATTGACAGACGACTTAAAAGATTGCAAATTATATGAATCAGGAAAGCAAGATAAAGGAAGCGAATTCCAAAGAACTGATGTTTGAGGAAAAAAACTAGATGAATAAGAGTTTTTGGAGCACTTAGGAACAGTAACAGAAAAAAGATGAGACTTAGTTGAATGACGAGTAACACGAGAATGAATTTTTGTAGATGGCACAAGAGACGCTAGCTCTTTATAGCAGTGCCCATTATAGTATTTGTAGAAAAGAGAAAGAGAAGCAACATTACAACGATGTGACAGAGATTGAAGGTTGGCTGCAAGAGTAAGTCCAACTATGTTTAAAATGCATTTTTGCACCTTGTCTAAAAGAGAAAGGGCATCATTAGAAGATCCACTCCGGATATAGCAACAGTATTCCATACAAGGCCAGATTTGAGATTTATAGAGATAGAGAATAGAATCCAGAGTAAGAAAGTGACGAGCTCGATAAAGAGAAGCGACTTTAGCAGACGCTAATCTTGCAATAGATTTGATATAAGGTTTCCAAGAAAGATCAGAAGTAAGAGTTAATCCTAGAAGATGAAGGGTAGGAGACTCATCGAGTACATTATCGTTCATAAATATAGGAAGGTCTAAATTATTGCGATAACGATTGGCTGAAAAAAATTGAGTTTTATCTGAATTAAAATTTACCAGCCCCATGCTGTAGCAAAAGTGAGATCCTTTTCAAGCTCAAATGCCCCCCCGCAAGCAATCAGAGGGAGTTGGCTTCTTATCGTGACATGAATAAATGGTATTATCATCAGCGAACAATGCCACCTTAGATGTGAGAAAATCTGTAAGATCATTAATGTAAATTAAAAAGAGTATAGGGCCAAGGATTAAACCTTGAGGAACCCCTGAAGTTACAGAATAAGAAGAAGAGTGCTGTCCATCAAGGACAACTTTTATACTATGATTGGAAAGGAAGGAGTCGATAATCTTAAAGATGTTTCCAGATACACCGTAAGAAAAAAGCTTATGAAGAAGACCAGCATGCCAAACTTTATCAACGCCTTAGAAATGTCAAGAGCGATGGCCTTTACCTCTCCACCTTTATCTAATGCGCGATAAAACCTATCGGTTATTACTGTTAGCAAATCAGCTGTAAAACAAGAAGATCGAAATCCATATTGATGATTAGAAAGTAGGTTATGAGATTCGAGATGAGAGATTAAGTGTTTGTTAATTAAAGATTCAAAAACCTTGCTTATGATAGGAAGAAGACTAATGGGACGGTAGTTAGACGAATCAGATCACTCTCCAGAATTTTTAAAAATAGGGATAACAGATGCTGCTTTTCAGCAGGCTGGAAAACAAGACTCTGATAAGCACTTGTTAAACAGTTTTGAAAGGATGGATGACAGCTCCGGAGAACACTTCTGCAAGACTATAACAGGTATGTTGTCCAGGCCGCAAGCTGCAGAAGAGTCTAAGCAGGAAATCACTTTAGATGCAGAAGCTGGAGTAATACGGATGTCGAGCAGTGGATCAACCTGTTTGACGGCTATATCAGGTAGAACGCAACTAGTAGAATCAAGAGATGATACTGGTGAAAAGTTCTTGGCAAACAATTCAGCTTTGTCTTTAGGTGAGGTGACAAAGTCTGAACCGTACAAAAGAGGTGGAATTAGAGACTTGCCCTTATTATTGATACTATTAAAGATTCTCCAGAAGTCACGAGAGCCTAATTTTGTGATGAAATACAAGATTTCATGATCTGAGAATAGCGGGCTTTGGCGTTAGACAAAACCTTTTTACAATGGTTCCTAGCAGTAATAAACAGACGTCTGTTTTCTTGAGAATTGTTTTGCTGATAGATATGGAAGTAATGGTTTCGATTAGCAATTGCAGCAGCACAATGTGAGGAAAACCATGGAGAAGAGTGAGGCTTGACCTGGAATCGTTGAGAGGGAATAAAGGATTCCATGCCAGCCTGAATCCACGAAGTTATGTAAGAAGCGCATTTGTCAACAGGAAGACAAAAGATTTCTACCCAGGGGCCATCACGAAGAAAATCACGGAAAGAGTCCCAGTCAGCTTTAAGGTAGTTGTAAGATGTACAATGATAGGGGGATTCTGATGGTAAAGAAGAATGAGATAATAGTTTTAGAGAGACCAAACCATGATCAGAAGCATCTAAGGGTGAGTGTGGAGAAACTGAGCACTGACTAGGATCAGAAACAAGACATAAGTCGAGTAGAGAAGGTAAATGATTCGGGTTGTCTGGAAAGCGAGTTGGAAAGTTGACTATTTGAGTTAAGGATTGAGAACGGCAAAAGTTGTGGGCCTTAATGCCTGCAGAGTTACTGACACTAGAGCCAAGCCATTTAGTGTGATGAACATTAAACTCACCGACAACAACAAAATTGGCTGATGGATAAAGAATGAAGGCTTGGTCAATATAATCAGAAATAACATCAAGAAGAGTGCAGTCTTGAGATAAAGGAGAGCGATATAGAACAAAGAGAAAGGTGATAGAGTGAAGTGGTGCTAAACGAAAGCACATAAAAGAGTAGTCTGTGGATTCAAACCTAATTTCCTGACAAATGGGTGAATTCTTACGAATGTAAATGCCTAGGCCAAGCATGTGACTATTGGAGTCTTTACGAATTAAAGGAAGATAACCATCAACACTAAGATCACAAGATGAGACAGCTGAACTCAAATTAGTCTCACAAAGAGCAAGTAGGTCTGGTGAACTTTGCAAGAGATAAGACTCAACAGAAAAAAAGTTACTTCGAAGACCACAAATATTGGTGAATGATAGGTTTAGCGAACATGTTTAGAAAAACAACTTCTTACATTCACAAGTATCATGGCAACTGTATCTTCATCATCATGGTGACTGTATTTCATTATTTTTACCAAATTTAGCAAGTTCTCATTACTCTAAAGATTCTATAAATTAGAACTTGACGAACATGTCAATTATGTTGATAAGAAATTCAAACCATGAACCTCAAGAATGACTGTTTGAAAACTTTTGGGGGCATTTGGCTCAAAAGGTTTACTAAGGAGGTTGAGAAGAAAGAAAGTCTTGATGAATAGCATTAACTTAAAACTAAATTGATTTTAATTTTTTTAAAATTGCTTACGAAAGATTTCAAGGCAACATTGAGATCTACTTCAGATGATGGAGTTTTTTCATATAAGAATTAACTGGCTTTTATTTAAAATAAATTATATCAAAAAATATCAAAAGTTTTATCTCTATTTTTTATTAAGATAATAAAGTTTTTGTTTTGTTATAAAATATGTAAAATTTAGTTGTTATAATAAAATTCATATTCAAAACTAACAAATTACAAAAATAGTTTCTATATAATAGTTCTGTATACTAAGCAATTTTTTAGATAACTTTTGTGGGTTGGGGATCGTGTCAGGTTAAATTAAAAAGCTTCAGACATTTAATTATTAGAATACTTGAACAACTTGTAACTAAACATTATGTAGCTAAATAACATGTATGTAAATAACAATTGATAATATTCTTATAACTAATGTGTTTAGTAAAGATATAATTGAGAAAAAAAAAATCTTCAAAAGATTCAAATGGAAAGAATACAATGGATTAAATTAGGCATTTCAAAGTTTAAGACATTTCTAAAACTTTTGATAAAGTTTGGTATGCTGGTCTTCTCCATAAGCTTTCTTCTTATGTTGTATCTGGTAACATCTTTAAGATTATTGATTCTTTCCTTGCCAATTATAGTATAAAAGTTGTCCTCGATGGACAGCACTCTTCTTTTTATTCTGTTACTTCAGGGGTTTCTCAAGGTTCAATCCTTGGCCCTATTCTTTTTTCAATTTACATTAACGATCTTCCAGATATTCTCACATCTGAAGTGGCATTGTTTGTTAATGAGACTACCATTTATTCTTGTCATGATAAGAAGCCAACACTCTCTGATTGCTTGGAGGCGGCATTTGAGCTTGAAAAGGATCTCACTTCTGCTACAGCATGGGGCTCTCAGTGGCTGGTAAATTTTAATTAAGATAAAACTCAAGTTTTTTCAGCTAATCGTTATTGCAATAATTTAGATCTTCCTATATTTATGAACGGTAATGTACTCGATGAGTCATCTACCCTTTATCTTTTAGGATTAACTCTTACTTTCGATCGTTCTTGGAAACCATAAATTAAATCTGTTGCAAAAATAGCATCTGCTAAAGTTGCATCTCTTTATCGAGCTCGATACTTTCTTACTCTGGATTCTATTCTCTATCTCTATAAATCTCAAATTTGGCCTTGAATGGAATACTGTTGCCATATCTGGGGCGGATCTTCTAATGATGCCTTTCTCTTTTAGACAAGGCGCACAAACACATTGTAAACATAGTTGAACCTGCTCTTGCAGCCAACCTCCAACCGTTATCGCATCGTCATAATGTTGCTTCTTTTTCTCTTTTCTACAAATACTATAATGGACTCTAAAGAGCTAGCGTCTCTTGTGCCATCTACTAAAATTACTTCTCATGTTACTTGTCATTCAATTAAGTCTCATCCCTTTTCTGTGACTGTTCCAAAGTACTTCAAAAACTCTTATTCCTCTAGTTTTTTTTTCCAGAACATCAGTTCTTTGGAATTTGCTTCCTTCAGCTTACTTTCCTGATTCATATAATTTGCAATATTTTAAGTCATCTGTCAATTGTTATCTTGCTCCATAAACTTTATCTTTTCTCTTCCTGTAACTTCTAACTCTAATCAGTGGTTGCCTGCAGCCTTGTTGGAAGTGAAGACGTTAAAAAAAAAACAAAAAAACATTGTACTGCTTTTATTTTTTTGTTTATTTGGAATTCATTTATTTTAATTTTAGTTTGTCTGATCAACCTAGGTTGTTTGATCAAATCCTTGTCTAATTTTTATTATCAAACAAATTTGAAATAAAGTTAACATTTAAACAAACATGGCCAAAATTTAGTATATATTTACATAAAATTTATATTACCTTGACAGTAATGTGAATGAACTTGGTGAACAACTTGTTTACAAATCTTACACTTTGTGAACTGCTGATATGGTGTAAATCTAAGTTCACACAAAAAATTTGACATTAGAAATTATAAAGATGCACGCTATTAATATGATTTATCACATAAAAAAAAATAGAAAAAAAAAAATCTTTTTGAAATCATTGTCCTTAACCTTAACTATCTTCCTCCATAATTAAGGTAATCCACACAAAAAATTGGAACACTTGAAGCATATTATTAGTATTATTATATCATTTTTTAAAAACTTTAGGGTAACTCTATGTAAAAGAAGGACAATCACAATCAAGGATCACTTCATTTATTCCCTCAGACTTTTATCAGATTTTGACAAGTGATAACTGTCAATAGTGATATCAATAAATCAATAAAATAACACTATAATTTTAAAGTAAAAACATATTTGCCCTATTTTTTTCTAAAGTTTAGTATTATAGATGATTTATTTATTGGAAATTAAAAGTCAGTGGAATATAGTTTAAGTAAGCAGAAGAATATGGCTAAAAATTGGCCATTTTTGAGGGTACTGAATCCAAAAATGGAGAAAAAATAACTTAAGTTAAAATTTTTGATAGTCACTTTTGGATATTAAAAAGATCAAAACAAACTTTCTGAAATTGCTCAAACTCATTGGGTTGGGATGTTGGACAATCATAGTTTAGGTCTCCTTAAGCATAAAATGATTGGGTTGGGATGTTGGACAATCATAGTTTAGGTCTCCTTAAGCATAAAATGATTTGTATAACTAGTATAACTGGTATTTCTAGTGGTGGTGTTCTAGTGATGGTAATGGTGTTTTTCTGGAGTAATTTTTTGTGTGTAATTTTGCTTAACATTTAAATAAATTTTCTCTTGCATATTCATTTGTTTTAATCTTTTAAATATTACCAGTTTTAATATTATTTATATAACTTTCTATTTCAAGAAAAAGTCATTCTTTTTAGTGTGGAATTGAGACAAATATTACTGTTGTGAAAAGAAAGCAACTAGCTGATGTTGGAGAAGCATGTAAAAATCTTCTCCACAATGGCAATAGGTGCACATAATAGGGAAAGAAAGTTTTTCTAATAAGTAATAAAACTTGCTTGTGGAACAGTACCCGTCAAAAAGGAAGATTCTCTGTATGCGTGTATATAGAAAACAACTTAATTGTTGTAAAGATATTTAAAGATGATAATCGAAATGATGATGCTAAACATATCATCTTAACACCCACTAAAACTAATGTCCACATAATATCCTAAACAATTTCCATATAACACCCACCTAAACATGTCATTTTAACACCCACTAATGTTGTTTCATTATCAACTAATGAAGAAGTACTTGAAGATTAGGGTGCAGTGAAATTTTTTTTTTTTTTTTAATTTATTTTGCTTGGGTGTGCAAAAGTTGTCTATTCATGTCAGAAATACTTTGTATAAATTGCAATGCTCTAGGAAATTATCTTGAGGTGCCCCAAGGACTTTGAAATTCCCCAAAATGTGACCTACCGACTACAGAGTACGGAGCACGGACTACCGAGATAGACCAAGACTTTTTTTTTTAATTTGTGTGTGTCTGGGTGATATAATAATATTATTATTTAGTGCTATATAATTAGCTGCTATAATGCTGCCATCTGGCAAGTGAATGTGCATGTATTATTATGTAAAATACAAATGGCTTCAAACAAACAACACAGAATCAGCAGATAATTATTAAAATTATCATTTATTTTTGCAGTGTTGTCTTTGTATGGTTAGATCATGGCATAAAAGATTGAAACTGTACGAATGAAGAAACCACTCACTCGCAATGATAACATATGCTCAGTATTTGGCATCATTTCACGGATAAGCATAAATGTTTTGCCAACGTATGCAGATATCATGAAACATTTTATATTAGTAAGAAAAGAATTGTCTGATGGCCATGCCAAAGAAGCTACAATTAATGAAGCAACCAGGAAGATATCTGTTGATCTTGAGACAATATGGCACAGAGCATCAATTCCAGTAATATCCCGTCAGCAAATAATAGCTAAATAAGAGATTATCATGACAAATATTGCTCACTTATGAAACTGTTTAAACAGAGGTCCAAGGACAGGGAGTCACAGTACCTGAACAAAGTTGAAAACTTCAAAATTGACTCAAATCAAATTTTTGATATTGCTTTATGTAAATGTAAAGACTTTTTGACATGTGCTTGTGAAAAGAATCATAAAGCTCCACCAAATGAAATAATATTCCTTGCAGATCAAAGAACAGAAAGGAAAATGGCTATTGGCAACGTTGATATTAAAACAACAAAGCAGCAGGGAAAGAAACTGAAAAGAAAACTTGCAGAATAATTGAGATTTTATAAATGTGAATCAATTACAAATGCTGAAACTTTGAAATCGCATCCAGATTATAGCTTGGAGGATGATTGTAATGATGTCACGTTAAGTGATTTAGAAGAAGCTATCATCGAAAGAGATAGTAATGAAGATGTTGACTTCATGACAGACTCGCCTAAGTCACCATCATCAACTAATAATACAAGCTCACAAGAAATTTTGAACTCTCAAATGCGAACTCCACTACCAACATTAGCTCCTGAATGTGATTGATGGGGAGTATCGGATCGCTCAGCTGCAGCATTAGCATCAGCTGTTTTGGTTGATTATGGCATTATTAACGCACATGACTCATCTGATGTTATTGACCCAAGTAAAATTCGTAGAGAAAGACAGAAAAAGAGAAAAATTTTACAAGCTGGTGCTGCCAAAACATTGGAAGGGTTATATTTCAATGGTCGAAAGGACAAAACTCGAAGCCAGATCATTAAAGGAAGCAGATATCATCCAGCTTTGGAGACCGAGGAGCACGTTGTGTTAATAAAGGAGCCTGGTTCTGAATACCTGGGACATGTTAAAACATCACAGAGATCTTCACAAAGTATAAAGATTAGCATTATATCATTTTTGAATGCAAATGCTATTGATACCAGTTCATTGGTGGCAATCGGATGTGATGGCACGAATGTAAACACAGGTAATATTGGTGGTGTTATTCAATTTCTCGAGCTTCGTTTCAACAAATCTCTACACTGGTTTGTATGTTTATTACATATGAATGAGTTACCATTGAGACATCTCCTGATTAACCTGGATGGATCTACACATGGGCCAAATTCATTTAGTGGTCCAATCAGAAAATTATTGAAGAACATGGACTTGCCAATTGTCAGTTTTCAACCAATCGAAGGAAATGTGTTGTCCAGCATTGATGCAGATGATCTCAGTACAGATCAAAGGTACTTGCATGAAATGTGTCAAGCAATATCCAGTGGCCAATGTAGTTTTGAATTGAGTAATCGAAAACTGGGACCCACGTGTCATTCTCAATGGATAACAACTGCTAGTTGTATCCTCTGGTTATATGTATCTACAGAAAAGCCAGACAAAAACTTGATCATTCTTGTAACTTACATACAAAAGGTATATGCACCTATTTGGTTTAAAGTGAAGTCTAAGCATTCCTGTACGGATGGCAGTCGCCATCTCTTTTGAAAACGACTTACTTAATTTTGTTTGAAATAATTGTTATTCTTAATTTTTGTGGCACCTCAAAGATCTACAATTTACATAAATACATTTTCATTAGGTTCTGATATGATGTTAAAACCATCATACAGGTTTATTATAATAGAAATCGAAAAAAAGATCAGTTTATTTTTAGCCATTGATTTTTTTGTGAAAATATAAATTTAATAATAATTGTAATTTCTAACTTTTTGGGGATTTTGAGGGTTTTCAAAGTCCTTGTGGCACCTCGTGATAATTTACCAGAGCATTGCAATTTTTACAGAGTATTTCTGATATGAATAGACAACTTTTGCACGCCCAGGCAAAATGAATTTCAATTAAAAAAAAATTTCTAAATTTTTTTCCGTAGGTCACTTTTTGGGGATTTTGGGGGATTTCAAAGTCCTTGGGGCACCTCAAGATAATTTTTTAGAGAATTGAAATTTTTAAAGAGTATTTCTGATATGAATAGACAACTTTTGCACACCCAGGCAAAATGAATTTCAAAAAAAAAAAAAAAAAATTAATGTTATCACTGCACCCTATTGACCATCTACAAGTAAAAGTTAAAATTTATTTAAGCCTAGTTAATGTGTCATAAATAAATAAAATTACACGAATAGATTTTTTTTTTAAGTCTTTTTTATTTGTTTAGCAGGCGTACTTAGCTAAAACTTAAATAGTAATTACTGTTAAAACTGATTTAAAAAAAAGTAAGGTTGTTAGGATGAACAATAATGTAGATAAAAAACAAAACAGGACCAAGGAAAGAACCTTGAGATACGTCAAAAGCTACTGGAAATGAAGAGTGTTAGCCTTTGAGGATGACATTAATAAAGCGGTTAGAAAGAAACAATTTAATAATCTCAAAAGATAAAATCTTCCAGTAACATCAATTAGCAAGTCAGCCGTAGAACAAGAAGATCAAAAACCATTTTGATTGTCTGAGAGTAAGTTATTTGACTTAAGATGGGATGTGAGAAACTTGTTGATCAAAGACTTAAAGTCCTTGACTCTAACAGAAAGCAGACTGATTAGTTAATAATTGGAGGGGTCAGAATGTTCTCTGTAGTTTTTGAAAATGGAACCACAGATGCCATTTTCCAGCAGGCAGGGAAACAAGACTCAGTCAAGTACTTATTAAATAATTTAGAGAGAATTGAAGAGAGTTCTAGAGAATAATTTTGTATGACTATGACAGTAATGTTGTCTGGACCACAATTCGCAGGAGTTTAATTGAGATATGATAGCAACAGAAGTTGGAGTGATTTGAATGTCTAACAATGGGTTAACCTATTTAATTGCAATGGAAAACAGAAAATGGCCAAAAGATTCAAGATTCACATAAGAAGAAAAGTTATTTGCAAATAGTTCTCAATTTGTTTCTTTGGGCAGTGGCCTTGTTTGTCAAAGTTCGTGTTTCAGAGTTATAGAGTTGAGAGAGGGTTATAACCACTATTAAGTAGCCTCCTCATCTGTAGTGGTTTTCTTGGCCTTGAGGAGGTAATAAACATAATAAAAAAAAAAGTTCTGCCTCACCTTGGGAATAAGATTTTCCAAAAGTCTCTAGAGCCTATTTTCTGAGATAAGACACAGGATATAGTGAAATAAATGGAGCTTAGCATCAGACAGCACTTTTTTACATCAATTTCATGCAATAATAAATAGCCATTTATTCTAATTAGTTATTCTTTTGAAAAAGATTTCAAAAAATGATTGCTATTAGATGTAACAGCTGCACAAGAAGGTGAAAATCATGGAATAGAATGAGGCTTGACTTGGAACTAACATGAAGGAATAAAAGCTTAAATTCCTGCCTGGGTAGTAGGTAGTAGCTTTAGGGTAGTAGAATTAAATTTTATGTTTAAAATAAAAATAAAATCAATTTCCACTTTATTTTCACTCATCAAAAAATGTAAAAACTTTATGGTTATGTATTGTGCAAGCTGTTTAGTAGCAAGAATACAAAACAAAAACTTGGAGTTAAGTGAGCAACAATATGAAAGTACCACTGAGTTAAATCAATTAGAAAAACAATTATTAGCAAACCAAAACTTCAACCCATTGGAACACATAATACTATAACCTAAGTTTCACATACCCTGCCTTGAACACTATATATATAGGTTATAATCTATAGCAATCCCTACAACCAAAACAGATGTTGGACTCTTTGTCGAGTTTTTTTATTCCTTTTTTAAAAATTGACTTTAGTCTTCCTAGATCATCATCAATTTTATTTTTTAATTTCGGAATCATTTTTAAATTTACCAGTTTGTTTCCTGGATCTAAATAAGATAGGTTTTTGTTTCATATGTACTTTTATTTTATATATATATATATATATACTTTATTATATATATACATATATTTTATCATATATATATATATATATATATATATATATATATATATATATATATATATATATATATATATATATATATATATATATATATATATATATATATATATATATATATATATATATATATATATATATATTGTGTTTAACCTGTCTGACTTTATATTAAAATAATCTGCTACAGAGGGCTTTAGTACATACATTGACTGATTAATAGGTGGAACATGAAAGGAGTGCCGCTGCATTGATTAAGGGTTTGAGTTGGGGCAACAATCTTCTTTTTTTAATATTCTTTGTTTTTTTCTTCTTTTTCAGAAAAAGCTGAATGGAATCAAGTAACCAAAAAAGAGCAACTAATGTATATCCATATTAAAATAATTTTAAATGTATTCTAAAAAATAAAGTGTTCAGTATTTTTAAAAGAACAGAGCAATATTAAACTTGTAGAAAATGACAAACCAAACTTTTCTCATTTTACACTGAGTTTAATTAAGACTCATCAGAAATCAATGTTCAAAACCAAGAAATCAATGTTCAAAACTAAGAACTAAACTACAGAAAGTCATAAATGTCTTAACTACAGTAAATTTTCACACATTTGTGGAATATGCTGACGCTATTATTAAAAGAATTCTTAAATGTTATTTACTTGTGCTTTCTTTAAAAAATATCCTTTATTTTAAAGGGGATTTAATATAATTATTTTTTAAGCTCATTTATTTTTTTAGTTTTTTATGAGAAATTTATTTTTATTCCTGCATTTATAAATCAATTCTGATTTTTGTTGAATAAACATTCTTGATTCGCATGAGTTTTTATTTCAAACTTTTCTTTTTGCATAATATGCATCTATTGGAGATATAACAAAAGATTTATATGTGAATATATATATATATATATATATATATATATATATATATATATATATATATATATATATATATATATATATATATATATATATATATATATATATATATATATATATATATATATCCTTATAGTGTAGTCGAAAGAGACTTTTATGGTAAAAAAAAGTCTCTTTCGACTACAATTTTTTTACTTCGTCTCTTAAGCTGCATTTTATTGTCGTCGAAATGTCAAAGCAATTAAATTAATGCGGAAGTACATTAAATTTTATTGTTTTTTAAAAAAACCGCAATAACAATGACTAGAAAGTTTTTTTTAATTAGTGGTGTTTTTGTTTTATTAAAAAACATTTTTAAAACATGCGTAAGTGTTGCTACATCTTATAGCCTGCTGCTACAAGGGAGTGTTGCTACATTGACTATCTTATAGCCTGACTCGCAACAGAGAGCTACATCGACTGACAAATAGCCTGACTTGCAAGCTACATCGCTACTAGCTACTTGCTGCTACATCGACTGACAAATAGCCTGACTTGCAAGGGAGTGCTGCTACATCGATATATATATATATATATATATATATATATATATTTATATATATATATATATATATATATATATATATATATATATATATATATATATATATATATATATATATATATATATATATATATATATATATATATATATATATACATATATACATATATATGCGGTAGTGGTGTAGTGGTAGAGCACTTGCTTCATAAACGAGTGATTCCGAGTTCAATTTCCACCATGTCCCCGGTAGTACTGCGATCAACTTGTTCCTTCGCGCAGCGGCCTTGTTCGTCAAGGTTCATGTTTCGGAGTTATAGAGTTGAGAGAAGGTTGTTACCACAAATAAGTAGCCTCCTTGTCTGTAGTGGCCTTCTCGGCCTTGAGGAGGTGAATTATATATATATATATATATATATATATATATATATATATATATATATATATATATATATATATATATATATATATATATATATATATATATATATATATATATATATGTATAATATACCTGTTATTCTTTGCAGTAAGAAGTTTATTTTCACCAGCTTTTCTGCCTCCTCCCTCTAAATAAATAATTAAATAAATAAATAAATAAATATATATATATATATATATATATATATATATATATATATATATATATATATATATATATATATATATATATATATATATATATATATAATCTATTATTATGTCAAGCTTTCCTGGAAAGCGCATACTGTCGCACACCTTGTTTGTCCTTGTTTAAAGTAACTTTTTTAGACACACTGACAATGGCAGTTCGCACCTTTTAACTTTTCAAAGTGTTTCAATAATTCGCAGCAAAAAGTTAAACTTATCTATGAGAAAAATTCTAAAAAAAGAAAATAAAATTGTAACGGAATATCAAAAGGAAATAAAATTGTAATGAAATACCATTTTTTAATTCAACAAACTAGAAAAATTTATTAATTTAAGAAGAAAATTTTTATTAAATTTTTATACAACTTTTGTTTATTTTTTTTAGCTTTGTAATGACAATAAATTAAATAAAAAAACTGCATGGTTTCTTTTATAGATGTATTTACCACATTTGAAGCCTATCTAAAATTGTTTCCTTTATGTAGCCATTTTTCAACATTAATACAAAATACTAGAGATAATGAACATAATACATAATCAAGTGTTTTCCTAATATACTGACTGACAAAAGTTACAATTAAATTGTATATCAAAAAATGTTTTTTATTTTTGTTATATTTGTATCTGCTTTTTTCTCGACTTGTATCAATTTTGGTAGTGGAAAATAACAAACCTCCTAAAAATGAGAAAACAAAAACAGTAAAATATTTAGGTATATTATTTTTTTGCCAAAACTTTAATTTTTTTTTAATTTTCAGTTTTTTTTTAGATTTTTTTTATTTAGATCTTCAATTTCGTATATTACTTGTTTCCTTTCTTTGAGTATTGCTGTTTTATTCTCTGAAGTTTCTTATAGCTTTTTTTTTACTATATAAAAACGTGGTCAAGTTGTATCAAAAAATTACTTTAAACATGGATGCGCTTCCCGGAAAGGGATGTGATACATATATATATATATATATATATATATATATATATATATATATATATATATACACATATTTTTTTTTTTTTTAATTATCTTTGCTTTCAACAAGGTTGCAAGCAACCACTTATTAGTGTTGGAAGTTACTGGAAGAGAAAAGATGAAGATTGTAGAGCAAGATAACGATTGACAGACGACTTAAAATATTGCAAATTATATGAATCAGGAAAGCAAGATGAAGGAAGCGAATTCCAAAGAACTGATGTTCGAGGAAAAAAACTAGACAAATAAGAGTTTTTGGAGCACTTAGGAACAGTAACAGAAAAAGGATGAGACTTAGTTGAATGATGAGTAACACGAGAATGAATTTTTGTAGATGGCATAAGAGACGCTAGCTCTTTAGAGCAGTGCCCATTATAGTATTTGTAGAAAAGAGAATGTTTACTATTTTTAAAATGTTTCGTTCCGCTGAGAATAACAAATTTAAATTAAAAAATTAAAAATTTGATTAAAATGTTGTTGTAAACTTTTAGTAAATGGTGATATTTCATTGTTTTTATTTAATAATAAAGCGGCAGTGACATATTTTTTACAGTAGATAGACAAATGTAATAACTAAAAAACCAATGTTTTTTCATCTGATTTCCCGGACTTCACATGAAAAAAGTTCATACAAAAAATTGTCCTCTTTTTCCTTTGTATGCACTTGTATACTTTTGAGTGACCCTGTCCCCATACTTGCATACGTAATTTATGGATGGCCCCATGGCAACCAATTTCCAATGTCATCATATATATTTAACAATATGGTTAATAAATCTTCTTTGACAAAATAAATTTTTTTTAAACATTTTTAAATTTAATACTTTACCTTTGAAAAAGTTAAGTATTAAATTCATAGTTCACGTGGCTAATAAAAAACTAGTCAACCACAAATTTTTATTTTGATACTTTTTTTATACTTCATATAGTTTAACCCAAATAAAAAGCATGCATGTTATTATTAAGGTATTATATTAAGGTTTATATAAAAATGTTGTATAAGCCTTAATATATTATAACTTAAAAGAGTCAGGTAAGTTTATCCTGCTACTGGTAATATGTAACCAGTACAACCTACTTCATGTCCTGCAGCCTTGTATGATATACCTTTTTAGGAAAAGGCTAGGAGAAGCCAACTCTGACTTAAAACACCCCCTGCTTTAGGGCTCTTGGTTGAGTAAAAGTTGGAGATGATGTCTATTGATACATTATTTCCAGTTTAGGATGCCATTAATGCTGGATCTTGTTGACTCAATGCATAAGTTTTGTTTGAGCCTCTGTTTTTATGACTAGGCAACTTATTCTATTATCTCCTAATGAGGGTACTGCTCTAAAACTCATTTTTACAGTTCTGAGGCCAGCTGGTGGTCAGGTATCTCAAACTCTGTGGTAGCTCTCAGAGAGGCTGATTCCATCAACAGCTGAAAAAATATCAGAGTACTAAAAGTGCCATAATTGTGCATGAATGGTGTCCCTATTCATACTTTTGATGTATGCTGTTGAGTCCACATTTGGAGCCCTTTGTTACGGCTTAGGGTTTAACATAAGTAATAAGGTAATTGCTTAAACTATTAAATAGTGCACTAAGTTCTATCTATGCTTTGAGCCAAATTCTTTAACAAATTTAAAAATGACTAAAGTACCAAAAACTATAAAACAAAAAAAAACCATCATCATCACCAAGTTCGCTAAATCTATTATTCACTAATATTTGTGGTCTTTGAAGTAACTTTTCTTCTGTTGATTCCTATCTTACGCAAAGTTTACCAAACCTACTTGCATTTTGTGAGACTAATTTGAGTTCGGCTATCTCATCTTACAATTTTAGTGTTGATGGTTATCTTCCTTTAATTGTTAAAGATTCTAATATTCACTTGCTTGGCCAGGGCATTTACATTTGTAAGAATTCAACATTTTGACGAGAAAATAAGTTTGAATCCACAGACTATTCTTTTATGTGCTTTCGTTTCGCACCACTTCACTCTATTGCCTTTCTCTTTGTTATATATTGCTCTCCTTCATCTCAAGACTGCACACTTTACGATGTTATTTCTGATCAAATCGATGTCCTCTCTTTATCCAGCCAATATAGTTGTTGTTAGTGAATTTAATGCCCATCACACTGAATCGTTGGCTATCATTAAAAGGTTTGGAGGGAAAATCAATCTTTACAGATTAGGGTTGCTTTTTAAACAAAATTAGTAAGAATTTGATAAAAATAATTGCAGAAGCACAAAAAGAGAAAATCTCTATCAAAAGAGAAAGATGTTGTAAAGAGGAGAATACTTCTTTGAAGAGCATAAAACATCATTTTTTGGACTGTGTCAGCAATAGGGTGTTCCGAAAAAACCAAAGTTTAAAAATGAGTTCTCAGTAACTGTTCATGGCATTAAATCCAAAAACTTTCTCAATCTATAACTCAAATAGTCAACTTTCCAACTCGCTTTCCTGACAACCCAAATCATTTACCTTCTCTAATCGACTTATATCTTGTTTCTAATCCTAGTGAACGATTTGACTTGCCTAACTATCATCCTATTAGTCTTCTTCCTATAATAAGCAAGGTTTTTAAATCTTTAATCAACAAACACTTAATCTCTCATCTTGATTCTAATAACTTACTTTCTGATCATCAATATGGATTTAGATTGTTTCATTCTACAGCTGATTTGATAACAGCAATAACTGATAGGTTTTATTGTGCATTAGATAGAGGTGGAAAGATGAAGACTATCACTCTTGACATTTCTAAAGCTTTTGATAAAGTTTAGCATGTTGGTCTTCTTCATAAGCTTTCTTCTTACGGTGTATCAGGTAACATCTTTAAGATTATTGAACCCTTACTTTCCAATCATAGTATAAAAGTTGTCCTCAATGGACATCACTATGTACAGGCTTGGACAGGAATGGCGTGCGATTGCACTCTGTAACTGACCATGCTAATATTGTTTTTTCTTTACAACTTGACCACAGCTATTTTGTTATTTTAACAATTTAAATGCAATGAAAAAAGTGTTATGTTATGAATAACTTTTAATCATTAATTTTTTTTAAGTGTTTATTTTACGCAAAGGCTTTAAATAAAATCATAAAATTAATAATAAGGATTGTTTACATAAACGCATATGAAGTGCTTAATAATAAAGTTGTAATTAAAATGAAATTAAATTGCTTGTTGACAGTTTTTTTAATTAAATCACAGGCCCATTTTTTTTTCTCTCCCTATTTTAACGAATAAAAAAGTTACAAAAAAAAAAGACTACAATATTTTTTTAAACAGTTTTTTTTTTGTTGCAATTTTTTTGAAAAAATAAATGTTGATACTATTGAAAAATATTATATACAACACTTTTTAATAAATTTGATAAAGTTTGATCATTTATTAAACAATCATTAGAAGTAATTTGTTACTTAATTTAAAAGCGATTCAAAAGCGTTTTGAGTAATTTTAATAAAACATTTAAAAAAATAAGTTTCAATAACATTTATTTCAAACGTAATTAAATACGTAACAAAATGTTTCGCTTCGATTTTAATTTTTTATTTTTACTTTTGTGTTTATATAATTTCTTTTTCGTAATAATTTTTTTTTCTTTCTTTTTTTGTTAGTAATTTTTTTTTCGTTAGTTTTCTTTAAAACATTTTTTTTTTCAAGTTAATATTTAGCTTTCGAATGTTTGGAATATAAACAATAGTGGTCAAGTTTTCTTTTCTGGAATGTTTGTCATATAAACAATAGTGGTCAAGTTGTCTAAAAATAAAATAATTTACGTGGTCAACAATAGCGCTCGATCGCACACCATTCCTGTCCAAGCCTGATATATATGGTACATGGTATGGGATACATATATATATGGTACATGGTATGGGATACATATTATGTATCACATACCAGTTAACCGGACGAGTCCGCTTATCTGGTAATTATACATAACTATCACCTGATATTGTTGATGATCTGTTGTTTTTGCAAGGGCTTTAAACATTGACTTTTATTTTTCTAAATTGGAAATTTATGGTTAACATTGTTTAATTTTATTTCTTTTTTGTGTATTTTTAAATTAAATAAATTCTTTTAACTATATTTTGAGAAATTTTTTTATAAGCTATTACAGGCCTTGCGATGAATAAGAGCTGCGCGACGCATAAGCACGACGTGATTTTTGACGTCATTAAATTCTTTTTATTTGCTTTTCATATTTATCGACATTAACTGCACCAATTTATTTAATTACCGCAAAACTACTTTAAATCGTTTATGTAGAAATGTTATTATTTAAAAATGTTTTGGAATGTTTCGTTTTTTAAAATGTAAAAACATTTGTTTATTTTCTTGAGTTTGTCACGTTTTGTCTATACTAAACGAATAAAAAACATTATAACTTAAATTTAAAAAAGATTATAAAATATGCTAATATTTGATTTTTTTTTTTCTTAAATATGTAATTTAAAGTTTTTCAAATAATTATTTTTTCTTTTTAAAAAGTCAGCGAGTAATAAACTGGAAATTTTAATATTGTACGATTAAAAACTGTGCAATAGCTAATATTTTTACAAGCGATTTTATATAATATTTATTTATTTATTTTTATTTATTTTCATAAAGCGGTTGATAAGCACAATCACTCGTATTAATAAAAAACTTAAACGAACGTTTTGAATAGATTTTTAATGTTAACAAGGAATTTTATTTCTAGTAAAATAAAATAAAATGTTAGAATAAAAATCTTATAGGTATAAAAGAAATATTTTAGCGAAAAAATTATTCTTAAAAATTATTCGAAAAACTATTGACGTTCTATTTTTCAGCAGCTGTTCTTGAGCACGCTTCGTTGAGTTTCGGTAACTTTTAACATAAAAGCGATCGTTATTATTTAGTATAAGTAATTTTTTTGAGTTACTTTTTACAAAAATTTTAATAACTGTACTTTTTCATTGAATCAAGTAGAATACGTTTTAATATTAATCTTTTTTTTTATTTATTTGCCCTCAGCAATTTTTAAAATGTTTCCTCGAAATCACTCTTAAATACTTTAAATACGTCTAACAGTTAATAAATATTTTTAAATCTATGGAATAATTTTAAAACCTATCAAACCCCTGTAAAATAATTATTTAAGTTTAAAATCTAAAACTAAAAGAAAGTATTTTTGTTCAATTTTATCGACAACGTTGCTATTGCTGAATAATTTTATTAAAATGTTAGCTTAAAAGATTTAAACTTTTTTTTTTAATTTTTGAGTTTTTTCTAATTGAAAATAATGAGCATATTTAATTTTTTTAAATTCAAACTTTTATTTCAACTGCATGCGGTTTTTAAAATACTTTATTAAATGTTAAAATAATCGTCAATTACTTCATTAAAATTCCGCTCAAAAATATCTTTAAATATACTCAAACAAAAAATTTTTTGCTCGACGCAAATAGCCCTAGCTACACGCAAAATCGCCCTTGGACGACGTAAAATTCACATCGCCCGACGCTTTATCGCAAGGCCTGCTATTAAACTCTATTAATTAAACTCTTGACTATATTTTAATAAATATTTTATGCGATTTCATGGGAAGGGCCGATAAATATTTGTGGGGATGGGTGGAGATGGAAGAAAATGATTACGGGGATGGGTGGGGATAGAAAGAAATGCTTGTGGGGATGGGTGGAGATGGCTTTGGTTTCTGCGGGGATGGGTGGGGATGGAACAAAATCCTGACCCCGTGCAGCTCTCTAGTTTACAGTGGCTGGTTAACTTTAATTCAGCAAAACTCAATTTTTTTTAGCCAATCATCATCACAATAATTTAGGTCTTCCTATATTTATGAATGGTAATGTACTCGATGAGTCATCTACCCTTCATCTTTTAGGATTAACTCTTACTTCCGATCTCTCTTGGAAACCATATATTAAATCTGCTGCAAAATTAGCATCTGCTAAGGTTGTATCTCTTTATCCAGCTCTACACTTTCTTCCTCCGAATTCTATTCTCTATAAATCTCAAACTCGGCCTTGTATGGAATACTGTTGCCATATCTGGAGCGGATCTTCTAATGATGCCTTTTTCTTTTAGACAAGGTGCAAAAACGCAGTGTAAACATAGTTGGACCTGCTCTTGCAGCCATCCTCCAACCATTATCACATGTCAAAATGTTGCTTCTTTTTCTCTTTTCTACAAATACTAAAATGGGCACCACTCTAAAGAGCTAGCATCTCTTGTGCCCTCTACTAAAATTTATACTTACATTACTAATCATTCATTAAAGTCTCATCCTTTTTCTGTGACTGTTCCTAAGTGCTCCAAATATTCTTATTTGTCAAGTTTTTTTCCTTGAACATGAGTTCTTTGGAATTCACTTCCATCATTTCGCTTTCCTAATTCATATAACTTGCAACATTTTAAGTTATCTGTCAATCATTATCTTGCTCTATAAACTTTATCTTTTTTTTTCCAGTAGTTTCCAAGTCTAATAGTGGTTGCTTGCAGCCTTGTTGGAAGCAATGATGTTAAAACAAACAAAAACAAAAAATGCAAAAGTATGAAAGCTTATATAACAAGGTTATTTTTAAGTTATCGTTGTTTGTTTGTTTTTTTAGTTTTTCTTATTTTGTTTTTTTAAAGAATATTTAATAGTTTTTTCTTCAAAGATAATATTAAATTCAATACAAGATTTGGAAGTTTAAGAGATTAATGTTAAAGGTGTAAATATTGTGGAGTTAGACTATGACCTTTTTACTAGCTAGTTTTTAAGCAAGTATGACATGTCCTAAAAAAAAGATTTTCCAAAAAAAAATCCAAGGAACATAACTGATATAACTGATTTGAAAAAACTACATAACTGATGTTTTTTATGTTGTTAATTAAAAGCCAAGATAGCACTTAACATGTTAACTTAAAAGTAAGTCATTGTTATTAAATGTTCAACTTAAAGCAAAACAGTTTATTTTTGAATCGACATAAGAACTTCTTTCAAATAATGAAATAACCTGCATGTGCAAAATATTCATATTGAAAATCTAAGGAAAAAGATAATTATTTAATTATTGACATATTTTACCTGTTGTATTTCTAGCACCACTTTTCCAAGGATCTGGTGTTATTACTTTTCCAAGCTTCTTTTGACCTGTATTATATTTAAATTATTACTTATAAAGAATTTTATTAACTTGGTAATAATTTGTAACAGTACGAATTTGTATTAACTAGGTAAATAATTTGTAAAGCAATTTTTTATATGTTATAACAAAGCAATATAACATCTCTTGTTTTAAATTTTACTAATTTGTTTTAATAGATGGATAAATAACAATTTTAAATAATAAATTTATAAATTTGTTAAATTTAACAAAAAAATTAATATCAATCAATATTATATTTGAAAATAAAGATCTTTCTTTTACTTTTAAGATATTTATAAATAATAAATTAACTAATGTAAAGTAAATATTTACTAATGTTAATATTATATAATGTAGTAAAAATCAACTTTGTTTAAAATATAAAAATAGCAATGAAAATATAGTAATATATAATATTTTTTAATAATAATAGATACTAATACTGACAACATTAACCTGTTAATTATTAAAGATTCACACATTAAGTAATAATTTTAATTTCAATTAATAAAATAAACTAAAGCAGTAGCTTATAAAACAAAATATCCAAACCACATTTGAACATTAAATTTTAATTATATTGATGAAAATTAATTAACCTTAAACATATTAAACAATATATATTTATACAGTTAATTTCCAGTAAGTAAGATTTGAGTTAACACTGGTTAACTCAAATCTTCTATAATTATCAGCAATTAGTGTTATCAGCAAAATGGTAAGTAGAAACATTACAAATACAAGAGTTTAATTGATGTATGCTAAGAAAAGCAGAGAGCAAAAGATAGATTTTTGAATAACTCTTAAACTTACAGATTTTGTTGGTAAAAGTATTCTGTTTATAGGTCCGTACTGAGCTTTTGTACAGAAACACTGTATACATCATAGAATGGTGTATGCTGTGAAAAATTATATGGAGTGAAATATTATATGGTTAACTCTGTCAAATGCTTTGTAGTAGGTCAAGATTATAATTTTTAATAAAATCAATCAACAAATGATTTTTTCCTAAATTTTTTTTTAAACATTTCTTTAGTATGTTTAAAAGTATAAATATGTTTTTTTTTTTATATTTTGCCTACATAATATTATATGGAAATAGGTGTATAATTAACATGTTCAAATTTTGATCCATATTTCTAAATAACAATAGTTTTATTGATAAACATACCAATATGCTCAAATATTTTTTTCGACTATAGTTTTGAAATATATATTAGATTGTAGTTTTGAAGTGGGGATACTACTTTGGCTTAAACTTTTCAAAGTATTTGTTTCAGAGGTAAATGGTTTGATTTCTACAGTTAATACTGGTGAAAAAAAAAAATTTTTTTTTTTTTTTTGGGGGGGGGGGGGGAATTTTGAAAATCATTTTATTAAAATATTTGCAATGTTTAAAAAGAAGTCATTATAACAGTTAGTTAATAGGTTATAAGTTAATTATCCTATAATTAGCTTTTTTATAAATAATATTATTATTTATGTCGCATTGTATATTTTAGATCATAACATATAAATCAATGTATTATTCATCAGTAATCATTACAATATTACATAAACCAAAACGTAAATACTCATAAAAACTTAACAACTTAATAAAATATTTTATATAAATTTCACAAACACTAGATAAAAATATTATAATTAACTATATCTCATTATATCATTTGTTATACTATTTTTAAATTATAATAGACCTACATTTATCACAAACCATTTAATTTTAAATTAAATCCCTGTTAAAATGATCCCAGAGTAATTCGATCGGTCACGGCAGCAAATACGCATAATGTAAACAATTATTTCTTCTTTCTCGTAACGGTAAACATTTCTTACCGGCCCGTTTCATCAACTACACCGAGCAGAATCTGAAAGCCCAGAAATCAATCAATATATTTCTGAAATAGTTGGTCACATTTCAGGGTTGTTTATAAATAATAAGATAACTAACATTAAGTAAACACCTTATAAAAATGACTAAAATAATAATGGTGATAAAAAAATATTTATATTTATGATAATGATAGTAATATTAAAAATAATAATAACAATTATAATAGTAAAAGTTATTTTACCAATAGTAATAATAAAAATAAAGCAATTATAAATATTTAAATAAATGGGTATTTATCTTTCTTTACAACAATCATTTACAATCAGTTACAACAAAATTACAGTTACAAACAGTAATAAACTGACAAAACGTAACAACTAACGATGACGTAAAACATTTATTGCTTTAAAAAATGGTAAAGATTCAGTAAATATATTTGTCATTATTCTTATAATATAATAACCAAAATATACTGCATATATCATGACCAAATAAATAAAATATAAACAGAAAAACACTGAGTAAATCAAAGCAAAAGTTACAACAAACATTTCAAACAAAACGAAAAATTACCTTAAGTACTTTTCGCAAAAAAACAACATAAGATTAAAAATAAAAATAGTAATAAATAAAAAAACACAATAATAATACAAGGTAGAACAAAACAATAAGAATAAAACAATATATAACAAATAATAGAATAAAACAATATATGACAAATAATAGAATAAAACTATATATAACAAATAAAAATAAATGGCTAAAATTAGAATAAAAATAAATAATATATAACTGTATACACAACTTTTATACCACTGTTTAAAAATAAATAATAACTAAAAAATGAAACAATAAATGACTAATAAAAGTAAAACTAAGGTAATAAGTAAAACTTTATCTGCCAAAAAACTGAAAAACAACAACAACAACAAAAAAACAAGCAGAAAATAGTTCATATGCTACGATTCAAAAGAAACAGTTAAACACTCAATAACTTGTGGGGTTCCACAGGGCTCTATTCTGGGGCCATCTTAGTTTCTACTGTACATAAATGATCTTTATTTATCATCAAACCTTATTAGCTTTATTCTATTTTCAGACGACTCTATTCTCCCGGTAGGAAATAAGCTAGCGACTAGCGAGCAACTAGCTAGCTTTATAGCGATTTTCTGGCGATTTTTTTTTTTTTTTCTTGTTTTTTTTTTTTTTTTTCTTATATCTTTAAAAATTCGATTTTTAGTGTAGAGTCTATTATAATTTTGAAGTTAATTGAACTTTAAACATTGCGATTTTATTGCAATGTGTCGCTTTTACATATCGAAGCTTTGTAGCTAGCTACAAAATATCTACAAATCTATAGCTGGTTGATAGCTACATATCAAAATTTTTAAACAATGACTTTATTACGATATGACGCTAGATACAATAGCCTGTGGGTTTTTAGCTTATTAAGCTAGTTGTCCTCATAGCTTAATATCTATCTTTATCTTTACAAATATCGATGGCCAAATCGATGTCTTTATTGTTACGATTATAGCTAGCTATTCGCTAGATTTCCCACCGGGCTCTTTTATTCACACAAAGATATTAAAATACTTTTTAAACATTTTAATGAAAAATTAGATAAAGTTAATGAGTGGTTTCAAACTTTTTCTGAATGCTGATAAAACTAACTTCATTTTGTTCCAAAAATTAAAATTAAGTAAAAATGATAACGTCCCATTAAATTTCCAAACCTTATTATAAGTATAGCTATAATCAAAAGAGAATTATCGGTAAACCTTTTAGTCGTTAAATTGGACAAAAATTTAAGATGGAATTTTCAGATAAACAGTCTTGAAAAAAATTTCTAGAAATTTAGAATGATTTATAGATTTATTTTCTTAATTTTAAATCACTTAATTTTAAATCACCAAAACTGCTTTGCTTTTATCCAAAGTTACCTTGCATACTGCAATATCGCCTGGGCAAGTACCAATCATACAAAATTAAAAAAGCTTTATAGTAAACAAAAACATACATGTCGAATCATATTTGGAGTAAATAGAGCAGAACCCCGTGAGCCTTTATTGTGTTTACTTGGAGCTTTAAATATTTATAAAATAAATTTACATGAAATTTTAGTTTTTATGTATAGAACTAAGCTAGGAATGTCGCCAAAAATATTTGAATCCTATTTTAGTGAAGTCTGCCATAAATATAGCACAAGATTCTCAGTCAACAACTTTGCTGTCCCAAGATATAATTTAAAATTGAGTTCATACTCAATTAATTATCGTGGGCCATTTTATGGAATTTATTCAAATAATTCATACAGATATTACAAATAAAAAGAAAATCATTCTTGATCGTTTTAAAAAAGAATTCAAACGGTTGTTCTTATTTATGGATCTCACTATGCTAGATTTTAAATCTTTCTTTTAAATAAAGTAAAGCTCTAATAAAAAATCAAGATAACTTAAAAAAAAATTATTTTAAAAGAATGTTATTATCGCAATCCACCATAACAAAGTATAATTTTGATATTACTCTATTAATATAAATATATGTATATATCTCTTTTCTTCTTCTTTTTTTATTTTATTTTATTTTAAGTATATTATCATTTTTTTGCAACTGCAGCTGCCTTCTTTTTCTTTTTGCAACTGCAGATAATGTAAGCATTTTAGCAATTAGTAATTACTACTTTGTATGTTTACGCCAATATAATATGATACTTATAAATGCCGATTTTATAAAATTGTGATAAGACAGAATTATGTCTTGCTCCAGAATTATGTCTTGCTTCTTGCTCCAACCATTACTAGTTTTGTTGTATATATATATGAAAGTTGTATTTTTTTTCCCCCTTCTTGTCCATTTTTTAAGTATTTCGTTCATTAACTTTTTTTTTTTAACTTCTATTTCAATACATTTTTATTTCAGATATTTGTTTTTCTTTTCTTCTTTTAAAACATTTATTCATTCTTTTTTTTAATTAATTGTATTTTTTGTTTAATTTAAATTTTGTTTAATTTTTGTAAAATTTTTGTTTTCTTTTTCCTTTTTGATTTTTCCTCTTACGGCTAGTAAAAGTTTATTTTACCATTACAATGTTGTAAATTAAATTAAGAGAACGGCTAAAAAAGTTATTTTTAGCCGTTCT